CTCTCTCTCTCTCTCTCTCTCTCTCTCTCTCTCTCTCTCTCACACGCACACGAAAAAAAATAGTTTCGTCTCTTTGATGAGAGAGAGAGAGAGAGAGAGAAAGAGAAAGAGACTGAGAGAAAGAGAGACATAGAGGAAAAAGAAAGAAAGAAAGAAAGAAAGAAAGAAAGAAAGAAAGAAAGAGAGAGAAAGGATATAGGATTAGCCTTTACCTAAGTATTTCGGGCGACCGTTCGGTTCGGGGATTGGACCTTAGACTGGGCTGCTGCCGCCAAAAGTGTGGACTAGTATATCGTTGATGGTGAACACGGTGGCGCCGATCTGGCGACGGGATCCGGGATAAGCCACGCGACATTTATGGCACAACCCCCGCCAACGGGAGACGATTGGTCGAACGGGATTATCGTGGGCAGGAAGATGAGGGAAGAGAACAAAATGTGCGCGCCGCAGCTTGAGCTTGCGTCCGAGATTACACATTTCGGATTTAAGATGTTGATGTACTGTGCTCGTACGATTATGTCGTATACCTCGTACTTGAAGAAATGCACGCATGAATTCTAAAGACGCTACGCAGAAACGCAGCGGCGTTATATAACGTTAATGTGAAATTGCGTATCCTGTGCGTATCCACTTGAGAAAAATAGGCTCTCGTATAGATTTATGAGATTTGATGACATTCGTGAAATATTGAATATACATTTCCACTTATCTAATGGAAGATGAGGGAGGGGATGAGATCTACGAGATCTCATCCCCCTATAATAAGATAGAAGTTTAAAAAGATCTCTTTAATAAATTTATTTATATATGTTCCCCCCGTTAGCACGATAATACAACGATTATACAGCCAGTTATAAAACTTGTACTTTTAATCATTTTTTTCACTGCTAAGAATTTTATCACTGCTTTTCACGATGGATGATAATTGAGAGTAGAATAAATTCCTCTTCTTGGATCACTCGTTCAGTTTCAGTAGGCCGAAACGTGTTTTACTCGCGATGTAAATCAACGTCGCCTACATTATTTCTGTTCCGCCGAGCAATGACTCATTTTAATTATAATGCAAGAGAGAAGTTGCAGCACACGTAATGCAGACGCGTCGTTACCATGCACTATGTGCTCTATTTGCGCGTTGCGTGAAGTACAAAAGGGCGCGGGGCGTCGCTTAATTTCCGGAGTGGCGCAGCGACTGCAAATCAGCATTCTCTAATGCACTTTAAATTAGCGGTTTATTTTTTTCCCCGCGATTTACGCGCAGCTATAACGAGGTATCGATACTCGGCGGACGTTACCACGGTCATGAAAGTCAGTGCCGCCGATTTACGAAAGTGAATCACGCGGCGTAGCGTACTCGCGCTGCACCCAAACGCCCGCGACTTACGCTAATTCTAAATATATGCAGTCATATGTTGTTTTTTTAAATATACACGCGTGATTCAACGACGCGCGGATGCGATTCTAAAAAAGGTATTTGGTTGCTCAATCTCATTCTCGCGGCGTAGTTCACGTTTCCCTGTCAATGAGCGCCCTTGATATATTTTTGTTCGCCTTGAACCTTGTACCTGTGTGTGTGTGTGTGTGTGTGTGTGTGTGTGTGTGTGTGTGTTTATGTTGTGTGAATGCATGTCTTTTAATTTATAAATATCACAATATTTAATTAAAAACGATTAGCTTTAATTCTTGATAACGTATAAAAAATGTTAATATGTAATCTTGTATATATGTAATCTTTATTTGCGAATAAGCTTAAGTGATGTTAATGCTGAGCATCACATGTGTGGTACCAGATAACGAAATATAATTTTAAGTCAAATTGACGTTGCCAATGCGTGACACGTGGATTCTTGAGCGAAGGCTGCTCTTGTCAAATGCATTCTTACTGTGAAACATAAAGTACTGTTTATACCATGTCGTGGACATTTTGAAATCTACATAAAATATTTTAAAAATAAATTTATATTGAGATACACGAATAATACTGACAACTATAAATCTAATATTTATTGCAACAAATTTATCTTGAAATCTTGCTTTCGAGATGAATGGAGAACATAAAAAATAAGTTTTATAATAACGGAATAACTGAAATAGAATATATTTTAAATTATCAAGTCAGATCTTAAATTATAAAAAATTGTTTATTAAAAAATTATAGAAGAATAAAAATTAGGTATGAATTAGAGCATGTCTGAACAAAATTAGCGTTTGTCGAAGATTATGTCAATACGAAGAGAATTTATCGGGCCGTCAAGCTCTGAGAAAATGAATAATTGATTCCCACTTGACTCCTCGTAAATATCTGCGTTTGCACCGAAAGCAGTGACGTCAATCGGTCTTTAAAGTCTACGTCATTTCAAAAGAATACTTTGGTCAGACGTGTGCAAAAATTTGCGAAGATGTTTACGAAAATTGTCAGAGAGATAGAGAAAAAAAAAGAAAATAGAAGCTATAACACTTACCTACTAACAAACATATACATAAAGAAAATTTTCCTTGACATTTGAAAATAATATGTTTAATACTATCTTATATTTCTTAAAAATATAATTATTTTTATAAATATAATTTCAAATGATGTATTGAGTGTAGAACGTATTGGAACAGAGAAATGTTCCAGTATCACTATTAACGAAGTCATAACGGAAAAAATTAATTTTCATAAATTTAAAGTTTATTTAAAAAAGAAACATATAATCAACATATAATGAACATATAATCAGCCATATTAATATAATAAAAAATATTATAAGGTATTGTAGCAGAAATATATATGCTTATTTATACACGCTGTTATTGATTCGACTTCAACTATGTAACCGTGACATTCCGGAAGTGCAGTCGAACTTCCTTGAGACGCATCCGCGAAAGGCTTAACAAGCTCGCAAATGTACTAACAAGGACGGAAGAAAGGTGATCTTTTCGTTTTTGGCACTACTTCGGTCATTCGCAGATCCGCGCCCGGCCTCCTAGCACACATATACCGGGTGCGCTAAATGCAGCGCTATTTTCGTTATCATATTCATGCCGATCTGTCGGCCCGGCGGTACACAGATGGTACACGATGGGCGAGAACCGTATTTATTTTCAATTCGGCCACGGCCAAAGCGACGATGACGCCGATCGGTGCCCAGGATGTGATCTTACAATGACACACGTGCTGACTATGCGAATTCGTTTCGATGCACCCGGAGGTTAAAATCCGTTTGATTGATGCACACGTGCGGTTATTACAAAGATATCATTGAGATGCGACAAGTGCATGAACAATTCATAACTAATTTTATTAATAATTTTTTTATTATTTTAGAAGACAAGTGCCTTTATTTTGTTGTTTAAAATTGTCTTATAAACCCATTGAATATTTTAAAGACAAGTTTTTAGATAAATTAAAAATAATTTTTTTACATTTATTTTATATTGCAGTTACAATAATGTATTTTTAAATACATTTTTTTATTAAAAGAAATATTCAAATTAGAAAATATGAATTACAAATATATTATCTAATTCTGTTTAAAATGTGTGCTTAAGATAGGATAAATAATCGTATTTTCTGCAGCTTTTTTGTTATAGATTGTCGAGTTAAAAGCATTATTTTGTTAAGAGTTTGATTATACTTAGTTAACATAAATTACAGTTCCAGAAAACTTACCTGGTGAAGAGAGCTAAACTTAGAACTTCCACTTACATTTACTTTCTTGCGACTCGACGATGTGGTTTGGCGCAAATTTTCTGGGCATTGCTCAAAAATGCAACATCTAGTCGTGCTCAAAGCAATTACCGGGCGTCTAAAATTTCAGAAAGATCATTTGTTCGATTTTTTATTGCCATTTTAATAGATTTAATCCCTCTCGCGTGACTACAAGAAATTTCTTCAAAATGGTAGAAGAAATAGAGAGACCATAAAATCAGCTGTACAACAATGTAAGAGGTAAACTTAACTTTCATTAACCTTGGAAAAGATGAAAGTCGAAAAACTTGAGACGTATGAAAAGTAATTATTCTCTCGAAATTTTGGATTCACCGATACATATTAGGGTTACAACGTACTTAACGTTCTAATTTCTAACTATTCGTTTCAGTCTCGCTTCAAATTTAGATGCCCCCTTTCGTAGAACTGATATTATACAAGGTGATCTTAAAAAATTGTTTCCCCATATAATTACCGATGTAGGAAGTTGTCTGCTTTGAAAACTTTGTCATAAAACATTTCAACCCTTTATTTGTGAAGGGTATATATACATGTTAAAGGGACATATATTGTACATTTTATCAAATATAGTGGCTATTAAAAATTTTAAAAATTATAGAATACTGCAGCCAGATGTGATATACAAAAATTAATGAATGATACTCGCGGTTAAAATTATAACCATGACGAATAGCATTTCGAATTAGAATCCTTCCTGCAGTGATACAACAAATCGTTCGCGCGTGGTATGCGCCGGTTCCTAAATTTAAGTCTGTACTATTACATATTGTAAGCAGAGAATCATCGGCGAATGTTACAAATTTATTACTAAATTAAGTATCAGAAAGAAAATCGTGAATATGAGTTTACATACTGATTTGTTTCTCATATATAACAATGGTATTGATAATAAGGATGAATATAATGTTATTGCACTTCCATCGGGAATAGAAACGAAGGAGCAGAAAGGATTTGAACGAGAGATGGGATTCTCGATGTTTGTCTCTTGGTCTCGCCAAATACACGTCACGCTGGATGTTGAAATGCGCGGAAATCAATATGAGGCACACAGTCTTCGCGCGCCGTAAAGCCCGTCCGGAGGACGCTGATCCCCCGACTAAATTGAAACTTATGAGTTTCCTAGTCCGGGGGCCCTCTCGGCCGCCTCTTCTTCTCACTCGCGTCCGCCATTCTTCTTCGCCGTTAAGGAGACCTCGTCTCCTTGGTAACTGATACGCCTTATTAGCTGCTCTCCTCACCTTACGAGCCTCAGGAGGATCATGCGCTCACCGGTCCTGAATTTCTCTTGCGCAGTAACCCTTCTCTCGTCCTGCGTCCCTTTTCCGTGCCCTTCTTCAGAAGAACGAACGCCATGTCTCTTCCACGCGATTCGCTCTCGTCTTTGCTACGGCTTCAGCTGTATGAAGCTTAATGGGAAGTAGCCACTGAAAGTTTCACTGCCAACCCACTGTATTATCGTATCAAAATTTGTAAGAATATTTAGTAAAAATGTTACTTAAAATCTAACTTGTGAAAAAGCAATTTGCCTCTTAACTTGTTCAACGGTATCTCTTTGATTTTTCAATGGGTGCGTTTCATTTCTTCATTTTATAAATTCTTCATACAATCAATATTGTGATTAATTGTCC